CCTTTAGTATGCAAAACAACAAAAAATCAATTGCTATTCAATTTATTTTGCACCATCAAGTTGTACTTTTATCACTTCTTCTTCCATGTTCCTATAAAAAGGCCTAATAATGTCACCTAAGCTCACCACCTCACTCTTCATCATTGCTAAAACATTCTCAAAACCAAAATGAGAACTAAAAGTATTCTACTTCTAATTTTCATCACTTTCTTTGCTTGCAACCCTTCAAATGCAAAACAAACACAACCCTTTTCAACTATGCTCAATATCAACCATATTCTAGACAAAATTCCTCAGTTGAAAGCTCTAACACAAGGATTCCAAGAATCAAAGTTGCAGATTTCAGTCCCTTTGGTGGTAGCTGGAATCCTTTGCTTCATAGCTTCATCAATATCAAGTGCTGGTGGAATAGGTGGTGGTGGAATTTTCATACCTATACTAACTATTGTAGCTGGTTTAGACTTGAAAGTAGCTTCAAGTATTTCAGCTTTCATGGTCACAGGAGGATCAGTTGCAAATGTTATATGCTATATGTTTACAACAAGTTCAAAATTTGGTGGCAAATCATTGATTGATTATGACATAGCACTTTCATCTGAACCTTGTATGTTACTAGGAGTGAGTGTTGGTGTTATTTGTAACCTTGTTTTTCCAGAATGGTTGATAACTTTAATGTTTGCTGTTTTTCTTGCTTGGTCTACCTCAAAAACATGTAAAAGTGGAGTGATGTTTTGGAGCATTGAATCAGAAGAAATAAGGGTTAATGGAGTTGAGGAAATTGAAAAAGGGTTGCTAGAGAAAGAGACTAGTAATAAAGGGTTGGTAAGGTTATTGCATGAGGAAAACGATGGGTCAGAAAAAGTTGAAGAGAAACTTATAATGGTCCCTAAAGAAAATAGAGACAAGTTGTGTATTCCTTGGTTGAAATTGGGAGTGTTACTTTTGGTGTGGCTTTCTTTCTTTTCCATTTATCTTCTTCGTGGCAATGGAAATGGACAGGTGATGCTACTAGTCATTATTAAATCTTTTATGCAACAAACTTATTCATGATTTTGTTGCCATACTAGAATTGAAATTGGACTAACACTAACTTATTATGTGTTTTTCTTAGGCAAAAGTTAGAAAATTTTGTAATAATATATGTGAAGTCTGGGACCTCGCCTAAGTACTCCTCTCAAGATTTTAGGTTTAAATCACGTCAGTGCTAACACTTTCTGTGTAGAGTAAGTTTATACAAAGTTTTACTCTACCTTCAACTGACCCCCGATGAGGATGGTGGATTGCTCACCGAATTAGTCGGTTCTAAATAGTTTGTCCTAGGACCAAATACCGAATTTCTAACGAGGGAGACACTTATGCAGAAAAATCTAGAAGTAGACTATTGATTTACTATAATAAGACTAGCTATAGTGATTACTAATCACATCACTAATGAGGAGGAAAGAATAAAAATATGCTTCTTCCAATAAAATAGCTTATCCAAAAGATCTATAGTATAGTGCTGAATCTAAAAGTTTTGCTAAATTTAGAAACTAAGTGTTTCTTTTAATTATGTGTTGTTGAGTGATTGTTTGGTTGCTACTATTGGTAAATAGTATACCTTAACATGTAGGGTCCTATCTCAAACTTTCCCTTTGAAAAGATTGGACACTTAGTATAATAGAGGACTAAAAGAACAATTAAGTTAAATATAGTATTTGTTTATTATATTAGTATTTTCTTTTTCTTCGGAACTTGAAGTTGATCCATATAGCGGATCTGACTTAGTGGGATATAAGACTTGGTTTTTGTTGTTACCAGAGCTTGAAGTTTGGTCCTTAAACTTCTTTGACTTATTTAAACTCTTAATTCAAACCAGTTCAGCTAACCAACTAACTTTCATCCTAATCTTCTACTTTTTTATTATTATTATACCGTTATACGTCTTTCCATATATCGCATACGTTTAATGAATGATCGACTGTCGCAATTGATAAAACTCTGCAGAGAATCATTCCAATGGAACCATGTGGTGTAGGATACTGGATTATCTCATCAGTTCAAGTACCTTTAGCTGTTGTTTTCACTGCTTGGATGGTACTTAGAAAAGAAAGTCTTCAAGACCCATCTCTTATACCTGAGGTACAATGTCAGAACAGAAATTGTCCATCAAATAAGCTTGTTTTTCCATTGATGGCACTACTAGCAGGAATATTAGGCGGTGTTTTCGGAATTGGAGGTGGAATGCTTATAAGTCCACTTCTTCTTCAAGTCGGAATAGCTCCTGAGGTAAGCTCCAACGTCATCGACAATGCACATTACTACAATAACCTAATGTTTACTAAACAGTCAAAAAATGTTCTTGTTTTATAGGTAACAGCAGCAACATGTTCTTTCATGGTTTTCTTTTCGTCTACGATGTCAGCATTGCAGTATCTGTTGTTGGGAATGGAACATGTAGAGACTGCACTTATATTGGCCATAATGTGTTTTGTTGCATCACTTATTGGATTACTAGTTGTGCAGAAAGTAATTGGAAAATATGGAAGACCTTCAATAATAGTCTTTTCAGTTAGCATAGTGATGTCCTTAAGTGTTGTTTTGATGACTAGCTTTGGGGCCATAAAAGTTTGGGAAGATTACAAATCAGGGAAATACATGGGATTTAAACTACCCTGTTAATAAAATAGTTGTGTTATATAAGTTTTTGTTTGTATACTTTCCTTTTTTTATATAAGTACTTTTGTTATTTTCACATATTTTGAGAAAATGTTCATAGTGCATTAATGTGCATTTTGCACATGAACCATACTAAAATACTATCTGTGTGTAGATTGTTCAACTCTAACTTTTTCATGTCTCAAAACAAATTTTATATGTTAACTTAAGGTATAATTGAAGAAGAAATAAATTTTGTTTGCTCACTAGAATTATAATTAAAAGCGAACTTAATACCGCTAAATCTTTTTGTATTTGTAAAAGTATACTAATGATAGTATTATGAGTGGAAATCACTAAACACGTAATCGAGTTCTCTTTTATGTATATGTTGTTCTTGCGCTATTTTCCTTATATAGCAACTTTGACCCCGCCTTACATGAAAATCTATTAGAGGCAATTTAATGTGCTTGCTCCCGATTGATACGACCTCTTAATGTTGATCGGAAATCAGACTTAATTGTTTCAATTCTCAAATCATGATATCCCCCATCAACCATAAATGTGTTCTTAATCATATCTCTGGGAGATATTAATCTCTGTTGGATTTCGACCGGCGTAACCAATCTAACTCATTCGTTATTTCATCTAAGTCCCATTTTTTTATAGATTATTAAATCGGGCAAGCTCCACGAGGTCTGGTAGATTATGGCCCGTTCCACAACTCGGCCCAAGAGACAGGACATGTATACAGTCTCTCAAGCATGAGTCGTGTAATGATGAAGTGTTTTCCTAAGACTTATCAAAAACCCGAACATGTACACATTCCCTTTAGCATGATGTCGTGTAATGATGAAGTGTTTTCCTAAGACCAATCAAAAACCCGAACATGTACACATTCCCTTTAGCATGAGCCATGTAAGGGCGAAGTTCTTTCCTAAGGCCTACCAAAAATCCAATCCTTCAAAGATGAGTCGTGTAAGGGCAAAGTGCTTTTTTTAGACCTACTAATGATTGTCTGATGCGCCTTAATGCACGATCCTTCTTGGGCAAGCTTGCCCTAGTTTTTTCAAACGTCTTGGGCAAGCTTGCCCTAGTTTTTTCAAACGAGGCGGCCTTTATCGTGTCCGATCAACCATGAGCAGTTTTTTGATAGTCTTGGGAGAGCTCTTGAAACTCTTGAGCGTGCTCACGATACATCAGACAGACCCTCGATATTTTAGGCAAGCTCTTGATACTTCAAACGTGCTCACTATTTGTGTTTTTTATCATGCTATTTAAATCCTCCATCCAAAATGGAATTAAAGTTACATAGTCTCCAAACATGAAGCACTTAAAGGTGAAGTGCTTTTAGTGATATCAGTCCTTCAAAGGTGGGCTTCTCTTTAAGATCGAGGTTTTGGCTTTTATGTTTGTATGAGTAATCTCGCCCCATTGTATGGGCTATTTTGTAATTTCTAAACTTTTTCATTAATGAATTTTTGTCTTGTTCCGTCTTAGTTTTTCGTGCATCCAAAGTGGATCCTGAATTTATTTGCATGCGCTTTTTCCATTTACAGTCGTTTATTATCCCATGCCCTCGCTGTGAACTTAAAAGTTCTGTAGGACTCTTACGTGTACCCCATAGGGTTTCAGAGTCCCACTAGAGTTCTAATGGATACCGACTTCAGAGTCCTACTAAAGTTCTAATGGATATCTCATAGAGCTTTAGAGTCATTATAAGATTCTGATAGATACCCTGGAGGGCTTCAGAGTCCTAAGGTTTTGAAGAACACTCCATAGGACTTCAAAGTCTTACTAAAATTCTAATGGATATCTCAAAGGACTTTGGTGAGTTAATCTGACATATATCAGCAAAAATGTGCCAACAATCCAAGCAAAAACATTGTTCATTGTTTTCAAATGATCCATTCTTTTACTAAATTTGAAAGGTCGACTTAGATTTGAAAGGAGCATAATCCCAGTGACAAAATATTACATTATCCGAATATTTTGCTCAAAACACATCGAAAAAGTTGTCTCCATTTCCAAAATTAACATTGATTTGAATCATCTGCATCACACCGATCGATTCGCAAACTGTGCAATATTGAAATCACCAACAACAAAGATTATTCTTCTTTGATGCTTGAGAGACTCCAGACAGTGTGTGTACCTCTAGATTTTGTTGCTTAGTGGAGCTCGTGCGGCCTATTTACACAGTCATTTTGTTATGGTCTGCAATTAGCTACAATTTACAGTCATTTTGTTATGGTCTGCAATTAGCTACAGACGGCACGCAGATCAAACTCCACCCTAATTTCAATAATGTGAAGTAAATTTTTCGAATTAAATTAATGCAGGGAAAACCAAACTTTGTACCTTCAACTTCTCTTTTTTGGCTGCTGCAACATATCTATTTGTTGTCTCTGTGAACTACATACCTCCTACAAGTAAAGTCAAATTTAATGTACACATGGGGGCATAATACTACTTAAGCGTATCCAAGGAATCTTTTCAAGAAAAAAAATCCAACTTGTTCACGACAGGATCTTCACGTAATTGAAAATACTTCCAGGTATCCACAGATAATAGACATCATAAATGATAGGCCTGATGGCATTAATCAACAATAAAAAAAAACTTACTCTTAGAGATGCCAGCTGCTCTTGCAATGCCTTGTTGTGGCCTCGTATACTGCTAAGGTTCTCAACAATACTTGATTTCTCTGTTTCCATTCGTTTATTTGCCTCATTAACTGTTTTCAGATTTGACTGAATCTGACTATTGTACTGCTGCAAACTGATATTATACTCTTGTGATCGCTTGTACAGGTCCTGGGTTGCAATGGCCTACAAAAATCAACAATAACAAAAGGAGTGGGGGAATTATTGAGACAAGTAAAACCAATATCCTGTGGGACTTAAATATTTAAACAGTAACTGTAATAACATATCATTACCTTCTGCTCAGCTGCAATTCTGGCTTCTTTTTCTTTTTTATAACATTCAATCACTTCCTAGAAGCCAAAAACACAAGAAATAATTAGTTCATGAGGCAAAAAGCAAACATAACATGGAATATCCAATCACAACCATTGTGGCAAACAACCATACCAGTTTATCTGATTCTTCCTTTGCAATCTTCTCTTCTAAAGAGGATATCGTCATCCTCAAATTTGATATAGTCTCGTTCAATTCATCTATCTTAGTTTTCATCTCATTCTCTGAGAAAACACAAATGTAGATAATGTTGAAACATTTAGCTAAAACCACAATCATCCTGGAGTTCAAATGTTGGGATAATGCAAGGTGCTAAAAACTATTTAGTCGGTACTTGGAATATTAAGAACAATTTCTTACGGAGAATGGAAAATGTCATTATTTGATAATATTTGAGTCCAGAGTAGTATTTTAACCATTGTAAACAACTAAGCATAGCTTTGAATAGTAAAATCAAGCATTCTCTTCATTTGGTCGTATAAAATCAATAAAATAACTTGATATACTTCATACTTTTCCTATCATGACTAATCTACTTATACTACATTCCATTTCCAGACTGTTACTTCTAGATGTCACACAAAGAAACATGACATGTATGATGCATCTAGAAACATGCTTAGCAAGGTGTTTTCATCGGTGCCAGAGTAAACAAAAAGTTAAGTTTAAAGAGAAGGCTCACCGCTATCAATGCGTTTCTTCTCAGCCGATTCTAGATCTTTCTGAAGCTTTTCTTTCTTTCCCTTTAACGATCTAATACATTGTTTAAGTCGCTTGATAAGATCCATCGTCTGCTCCATTTTTTTCTGCAAAACAAAACAAAACAAAAAGTAAAATTCAAACCCAAAACAGAAAATCCAAGTGATTAATAAACTGAAACCGCACAGACCTTAGTATCAGAAGGAATCCCCTTTTTCATCCTCTCATCCAACAGAGCATCAACTTCGTCTTCGGTGAAATCAACAATGCCGCATTCAGAACCCTCGGCAACACCGCCGCTAACATTGTTGTTGATGACACCAAGAGGAACCCTAGCTCTACCCTGTCCTACCAGTTTTTCACAACCAATACCAATTTCTTCAGCATCTACTACCCATTTTTTCTGCATCTAAAAATAAAACAAATTTAACAAAAATCTCACTAGTAGAAAATACAAAAAGCATGAGAGTAAGAGGGAAACTACAATGGAGGGGATTCGTGATGGCCAGTTCTGATTCCGGGAAGCCATGTCAGGCTGAATCGTGTTTGCTTATTTGGGAAATGGGAACGATGTTAGGGTTAGGAGAAATCACAGAGAGAGTTTGAAGTTTGTTCCATTTCATATACCGTTATTCTTCTGTTTCATATATGTTCCTTTCAACGGATTTGAAATTTCGTAAGTTCGAATTTTTTAAAATCAATATTATAATTATCCGATAGTATTATCATAAGAATAATCAAAATTGTCATGACATATTCATCTTCAACAATTATGTTGTTATGATGTGTGTTTTTATTATAAGTTTGAGAGCATCTAAGTATTAAGATCGAGTCGGATATAGGAGACTTTCAAATGTTCATTCAAAATCTTTTATAGTGTCTCCGTGACTGCAGGAAAATAATTTTCTTTTATTTCGTTATGGTATTGAGATGTTTTTCTTAAATGTGAGAAGCAGATTAGAAAATCGTATCCAACTTTGTTTATCTCGTATATTTTTTATGGCGAAAATTTCTTAAACGAAAGAGAATTGTAACACTCTAGTTTTTGTCTAATTATTTAATTATATTATTTATAGTGTTTATAGAATTATATGTCTTTTATCGAAAATAATGATATAATTGCTTCATGGGGTGTAGAGAGAAGAGGTGGAGTGTGCGGAGAATAGACGGATTGAGAGAATAATTAAAATAATTATAAATAATAGTATTTTTATGAATTAAATAAAATAAAATAAAATCGAAGTAAAATATTATTATTAATTTTATTATATTATTAGTAAGATTAAATAATAAAAGAAGAATTTAAATAAAATAGATAATAAAGGAGGAAGGGCAATATTGAATTTTTGAGAGTAAGTAAGGGGTAAGGGGGTAAAAGTGGAATTGAGAGAATTGTTTTAGGGGTGAATAAATAAAATAATGTAGGAGTTAGTTTACGGATACGTAGAATTTATGGGAGAAAGGAGAAAAAGAAGGCTAGGGCGAGAAAAAGAAGAAGAGAATGCGTATGAGAGAAACGTTCAAGTATCGATCAATTTTTGCTGGAAAATTCAAGTATCGATCAATTTTTGCTGGAAAATTCAAGTAAGGGAGAATTGTTCATTTAAGGGTGCTAATCCTCTTACTGACTCTATTTCTTTTCTTTTTATTAAACCCTTACAAAACTAACTCTAGTAATCACTAATGGGCTTACTAATACATACCCCGTATTTACTCATCACATTATCACCAAATAGGCCCAATTAGTTATTATGCTACTAATTTCTACAATTCTCGCTCATTAAACATTCTTTCACTAACTGACGTACTTAACATGACTAACTCATCACATAGCACACATCGAATAATTCAAATAAATTAATTATCCATAAAATCACGCAAATAATTAATTAATATAATATATATATATATATATATATATATATATATATATATATATATATATATATATATATATATATATATATATATATATATATATATATATATATATATATATATATATATATATATATATATATATATAATTATTAAAATTGAAGTGTTACAGGATCGATTTTGAACACCCCTAGTTTTATATGCCAACATGCAAATAACACTCGTGCATTTTTGTAGTGCTGAAAGACTTAATCAATTAGTTGAATTAATGCTCAAATGAAAATACTCATCATGCTGACCAAGAGCTTCAGCAATACGAAGAAATACATGTTTATGCATTATGTATCTTCGACAAAATTGCTCGAATGTGTAAATTGTATCTTTTGAAAAATAATCATTGAATAATCTCTCGCGTTCCCCTTTACGATTCTTCTCAATATTCCTTCTTTGACATCTAGGCATACTAGAGATTGCGACTTCTTCTTATGATAGACTTTCAAAGAAAAGTCTCATAATTTCTTCATCCAAGTCAACATTCATAGAATTCATGGACTTTTTTGCAATGTGGGAAGAATTAAAAAAGATCCATATGTAACAATAAGTTTGATATTGAGTAGACAAAGCAAATTGGGGTGAGTGGGAGAAGTTGAAAATAATTGTGAAGTTTATTATGCATGTTAAGAGTATTATAAGGTTGTTTCTAAGGGATAGTTTGAATAACATCTTGTCTGACCAACACCTTATTTGAATAATTACAACTAGTGATATACTAAAAACTATAGCAATTATAAGAATCTAAAAATATAACATATATAATCATATTAATTAATTCCATATCTTCCTCTAATAATGTCGCACAATAGTTCATGAGCTTGTAGATGTCTTGGATTCATATTTAATGTATATGTCGTTAATATTTGTATATCATTGATCTTCAACCTATCTCTTTGTCTCGACTTTTTCACCATCATCTTTCATGTGTGAACTGTGACATCAATTCATTTTTCTTTTGGAACTCATCTTTCAAAGCAATAAAATTTACATTAGGAGTAGACATTTCCACAAGCTTTTTTTTCTCATTTCTTTTGGTTGCCTTTTGACCGATTGAGCGACATAACAATGTAGGTGATGATTGATTATATTCGCTGCTAGTTGATGTTAGTGAGTTAGAAGATGAAGAATATGCTCTAGAAGTTGGATTATTTGTTCTTTTTGTAGAAGTTTTCGATGACCTGCAAGTTATTTTGGTTCATCTTTCAATAATTTTCACGTACCCTCAAATGTGGACTTTTCACCTTCATATTGGAAATAAAATAATTGGTCAAATATTTCGTTTCTACATTTGCTACCTTTCAATTTTGGTACCTTTGCTACCTTTCCCTCTATCTTTCAAAATAGATAATATATAATTGGCCAGATGAAGGTGAATAGATAATTGGTCAGAATGAATAGAGGCAAAGGTAGCAAAGATACCAATATTTAATGTCATTGTGTCAGAATGAATAGATAATTGGTCAGGTATTTCTTTTCTACATTTGCAAGCGCTCTCGAATGAGAAAATGTTTCTACACAGTATTTAAGTGGGTTAATTGTTTAAAATTAACAATTTATATATTATATATGTTGGAACAAAGGATTTCAAGAAAGATGATTTTGAGAAACAAGAAGAAGAAGAAGAAGAAGAAGAAGAAGAAGAGAAGAGAGAAATTTTGAGTTAGTTGAGTGTAACTAACTTTCTAACTGACTTTATTATTATTGCTATCCTAATTGCAAATATAATGGCCCTTTATATAGGCAAAATATCAAGGCCCAAATACACATGCTAAAAGCCCAAATATAACTGAACAAAAATTATACAACTAACACACCCCCTAATTCATGTTCTTGAGACTTCTCATCCCGATGCCTTTCTTTAACTCTTCGAACCTCACTTTCTTCAAAGGTTTGGTGAATATGTCAGCTAATTGCACTTCTGTCTTGCAATGTTTTATTTCGAGCTTCCCTTTGTTGACTTGATCCCTCAGAAAATGATACCTTCTTTCAATGTGCTTACTTCGACCATGACACACTGGGTGATTCGCAAGGTTTATAGCTGACTTGTTATCAACAAAAAGTTTCATCTTTGATTCCATTATTCTGAGTTCTTCAAGTAGCATTTCGATCCATGTTGCTTGGTATGAAGCATATGATGCAACCACATATTCTACTTTGCATGATGACAAAGCCATAATGCTTTTCTTCCTCGAACTCTAGGAGATTGGAGCTCTTTCGATCATGAAAATATATCCTGCAGTACTCTTCATTTCGTCTTGATCTCCACTGAAGTTTGAGTCAGTGTATCCATGAACTTCGACATCTGAGTTGTTCTTCAATTTCTTTGGTAACAGCACACCATGATCAATAGTTCCCTTTATGTGTCTCAACACCCTCTTGCGATGAGATGACATTCTTGAGGCTTCTCCATAAATCTGCTCAACAATCCTACACTTTGGCAGATATCTGGTCTAGTATTACAAAGATACCTCAAGGATCCAATAATTTGTTTATAAAGGGTCAAACTTACAAATTTATCATTTGATTTCTTTTCAGGTTTGCTCCAGTCTCTAATGGAGTAACAGTTGCCTTACAATTGCTCATATGGAATCTCTTAAGTATATCTTGAGCATACTTCATTTGATGCAAGAAAACTCCTTCTTCAATGTCTTTGAATTCCATTCCCAAGAAATAGGAGAGATTCCCTAAATCAGACATTTTGAATTCCTCCATTAGCTTCGACTTTACCTTCACTATCTCAGCTTCGTCTGCTCCTGTAATGAGTAAGTCATCAACATAGAGGCATAAGATGATTCGATCGACACTTTTGACATCATTTACATACACTCCATGTTCAGAGACACACTTTGTGAAACCTGCTTCGATTAGGAAGCTATCTATCCTTTTATTCCAAGCTCTAGGATCTTACTTCAAGCCATAAAGAACCTTCCTTAACCTGTAAACTTTTGACTCCTGCCCTTTAACGTCAAACCTGGTGGTTGAGTAACGTAGACTTCTTCTTCCAATGGACCATTCAAAAATGCTGACTTTACATCAAGTTGGTGCATTTTCCATCCTCTACATGCAGCTATTGAGATGACAATCCTGGTTGTTTCGATCTTTGCAACAGGCGCATATACTTCATCGAAGTCAATACCAGGTTTTTGTAGAAAACCTCTAGCCACCAGTCTTGCCTTATACTTTGCAATCTCACCATTTTCCCTTTGTTTCACCTTGTAGATCCATTTCACATCGTTTGGTTTCTTGTTGGTTCTTTCGACAAGCTCCCAAGTCTTGTTCTTCTCAATGGCTCTAAGTTCTTCCTTCATGGCTTTACACCAATTCGAATTGCTCAAGGCTTTGCTCAAATCAATTGGTTCTGCTTCATCCATCATCATGGATTCTTCGATTAAGTCACCATCTGCATCGATTGCTTTATCTGGAAACCTATCATATCTAATCAGCCTAGTCGACTCAGTTCTTGTTCTTGTGGATCTTCTTTCATTCTGCACACGTGGTTCTTTATTTCGACCAGTCGAAGTATCACCTTGTTCATTTGACTTGTCGAAGCTTCGTTCTGTTCATCTTCTTCGAACACAATTGTGACTGTGTCTGATT